GAAAAATGAAATGAAAGAAAGAATTGTTTAATGGCTGTTTCAGTGAGAAAATGAAAGAAAGAATTGTTTAATGGCTGTTTCAGTGAGAAAATGAAAGAAAGAATTGTTTAATGGCTGTTTCAATGAAATGGAAAAGTTGTCACTTTCCAATCTTGTGACTAAGCTTCAAGTCTCCCGTTTATTAATACAACGCATTTGGCTATTTTGCACACATATGTTAAAATAGCAAACTGCAGATCGGAAAATTATGGTATTCTTATTGATAGAAATTAAATGATTGATAAGGGTTTGAAGAGAATAAAGCCATATTCTGATAGCTAATTATAGGTGAAAAATAAAATCATAACTTCTAACGTTGGCTGAGAGTAGAGATATATTATGATGACAGTCATTGATTTCTTGACCTTACTTCTTAAAATAATGATCAGCAAAATGTACTTTAACAAAATATTGCAATAACAATCATAAATATGATCGTTATTGCAATATTTTGTTAAAAGTTGTTAAGCTCATAATTATGTGATATGGGAATTTCTACAGATATTTTATTGTCATTGAACTCACCATGAGCTTCTTCAATTATTAACTTAAGAATTAAGATTCATTAGAATATTAAAATAGAAAAACTGATATTTTCTCAGGTCTTTTTAGTTGATCTTAATTTTTAATAAGCATTTCATTTCATCTTAATTCTTAGCTGCTTTTCCCAAGAGCTTATTCATTATTTTTGATCCACACCATCTACTCACTTCCATAGATTGCTAGCCTAAAAAAAAATGCAATAAAAAGAAACTAAAAATCTGCATGAAAATAAATACAAGAATTTATTACTCTCATAAGTTTTTTTTTCTCTCCTGCCATTTTTATTATCATAAGCATCAAACTGTGCGTCAATCATAGCCCAATCGTTAATCTCTCTCTAGTCAATTTGATGACGTTTCAAGTTCAATCTCCAAATGCTTTGCTATTGTGTTTTTGTCCAAAACTATGCTTAGCAAATAACCATCTCTCCTATATGCCGTGTCCCTTTAAAACATGGGTGATCATAGCTCTCCACGACTTCCTATCCCTTATAGCACTAAGCAAGGTTTGTTCTCTTACTATTCTTCCCTGTTCATGCTCTATCAAGCTCGTTAAATATGTTACTCAGTTTCTATTTTGCCTCCAATCTGTCCTGCGAATATCAGATTCTCCAAGCCTCCTTTCCTCATTATGGGTCCCAAAGATATCAGTCTGATCCTAATCGGAGGTATTCTTTTCATTCTCATATTCTTTAAAACTTCCCCATTGTTCACATGTTGTGTCCATGGTATTCTCAGTATTCTTCTGTAAAACCACATGTCCGTTGCTTCAAGTTTCCTCTTTGTCTGTGAGGAAACTGTCCAGTACAGGCATTCCTCAATTAATGCGCATTCAATTAATGTGTTTTTGATTAGTGTGCTAAAATTTTTATATACCAAGATTCGATTAGTGCATAAATAATACTCAATTAGTGTGGTAAAACATTCTTCAGTTTAATCATAGTAATTGAAAATTTATTTTTTTAGTTACCGATGTACACATTAGCCACACTAATCAAGGGATTGCTATATTCACTATCCACGTAGGAGGATTTATATTACATAACAGTTCAGCACTTGGTTTTGTTTCCAATGAATTTCATGTTTCATCATCATCATCATCATTGCTCGACTGTAGTCAGGATCATCAAGCTAATGCAAACGATCCTTTCTTTAGCTGTATGGTATGTGCTATGCCAGGGCTACATACAATTTTGAGTTCAGAGTTACTTTCTCCTAGACCAGCTGCCATCCAAGACTATAGAACCCAGTCTGTCCTGCTATTTACCTATAGCTGGTGGGGAGAAGAAGAGGATTCATACCTTTCCCAAGTGTATTAGCATGTAAGTGAATGTAATTGATCTGACTGGAATTTGAACTTGGCTCTCCAATTCCTCAATCCAAGCCACTAACTATTACTCCACCATGCCTCTTATGTTTCTTAATATCAAGCAAAAAAACTATACTTTCCTCTTTGGTGCCTCGATTTTACGAATTTAAGTGCGGCCACATCTCTTCATTTTCTAGTTGAAATTGCACGATGTAACCATAAGTTCTATGCTAACGGTTTCTTCTTAAAACATTTCTCTCTTATAGAACTCTATTTATATATGTGGAGGAACTTTTTGCTTTCCAGTCAAATTTGATCTTCAAAAATTTAAATGCAATGTCAATCATTATCTTCTGTCTTCTTAATTCCTGTTCTTCTATTCTTCTCACTCCTTAATAGTTTTTTTTTTATCTTTGCGGCTTTATTGCCATGCTTGGAAATGATTAAAACAATTCTACTGTTTATATTAGATTGAATGAGCATTAAAAAAACAATGATGTAAATTTATTATTTTAATATTCTTTTTGAAAATCAAATTTCATAAAATAGTGATAAAAAAAAAAAATTGAAATCACAAATGTTGAAAATTACCCCCCCCCCCATTATCCATCACCTACTGTGGTAGGAAGAAGCCATTCATAAAACCTCCATTTTATCATGTAGTACCTGTGTGGGGGATAAATCCATTTAAGCAAACCTTTCTGTTGTTTTTTGGAACATGAACTCTCTGCTATGGGCAGCCCAGCGCCACCCTGCACTCTGGTCCTAACCTATCTCTCTCAACTACCAATTCCTCTTCTCAATGAAGAAGCGAATTCCTTCCCTCCAGCTCCAAAGAATGTCTGCTATTTTTACCACTCCCTAACATCATTCTTCACCTTAAAGTACCCTTCAACCACCAATAGACAGCCGCATACACCTACACTCTGCAGCCTGAAGTCAGACATTGCTTATCATATGGCTTATACAAAACTTGTAGAATGAATTTTTTTATGCTGATATCAAAACTTTGGAACCAGTGCAGACCAAAATTTCACACTGAGAAGATAAATTATTACTAAAGTCTTTTGGCCCAAACTTTTGATTTTGATAAGTGGGAAAGAGCTTTTTTCTTGTTTGATAAAAAAAAAAAAAAAAAGCCAAGTACATGTGTAATACTAACAATTTTTCATTAAAAGCATTCACAGATTTTACAGTTACTATAAAGGCATGCTGAAAAGTTTTCAGCCTAACTCACAAAAATCAATATTTCAATAAATGAACATCAGAATACTAATTTAGATAAAGGGGCTGTACAGAGAAGTTTTCAGCACCATCTCATATACATCCTCCAATAATAACCTCAACATTGGACAACGGTTAATTAATAGGTTTTATAGGTAATTTAAAAAAAATTCCATGTCCCTTCAGGACACAGGTGATCATATTCCTTTTCTCTATTACCTGTGAATTGCTATAATTCTTTAGAATTTTTTTTCATTTGTTACATGATCTGTTCATGTTCAATATTTGTCAGTAGCATCACATATCTATTATTTCAATTTTTTTTTTTAAATTTGTGATAAAATTGACGTATCTCTCAAGGTGATATAGGAAGAGAGATATCATATAGTCCAACACTTTTTTCTTTCTTTCTAATGTTATATTTCAATCAGTACCTTACACAAGCAGCTTTTGCTATTCCTATGCACTTTTGAATTTCAGTGTCACACTTTTTGCCAGCTATTATTACGCTGCCCAGATAGTTTAATTGGTGTGCTTGTTTAATTTTGACATCTCCAGTGTGTAACTCACATTACACCGTTTGCTCACCAACATCAATTCTGTCTTTTTTTGACATCTCCAGCGTGTAACTCACATTACACCGTTTGCTCACCAACATCAATTCTGTCTTTTTTTTTCTGTCAACCCTTTCTTCAACTATCCAAGTTTTTTCAGTTTTTCTTCTGAATCTGCCCTCAACCATTTCATCTGTATATTTTTATATCTGCTGATAATAAATTGTGATCATTCTTCTAATTCTTTCACAGTTATCTCATTGTTTAATAAACCTGGTGAAAAAACAAAACAAAAAAACATCCTTGCTGAGCATGCTTACTTTGATATACTCAATTTGTTCATACAGAAGCTGTTTGTCTCCAATATAGATTGCAGATTATTAGCATATCCTTTCTACTTAGATCAAGCTTTTCTAACTTTTCAATAAGTTCTTCATATCATAATTTTGGAATGTTGCCCGGGGTGGTTATTTGAAATAATAACTAGAATGGCAACTTACAAAATATAAGGGTTTATTTTAAACAAAAACAATGCAAGTAGATATTTACAAGTTCGCCTGAAGCTGGAAAGCAAGCCCATCTGAGACCAACACCATAGATGCTTATATTCCTCCTGGAACAGTCCATTTAATAGAGGTGTATCAGTTTTTTGTATACTGAGGATTATCAGTTTGTTCCCTACAACACATACCTCATTGAATTGCTTTATTTAAGCCACAGTTGTTTTTTTTTTTTTTACCTTTTACATTGGTGTCATACTTTAAAAATAAAATTTTTTTGACAACATATTAAGTTTTGTTAACCAAGCCAAACTATTATGTATGAATATAAATGGGGAATAAATAATTCTGTAAGGGTAGATTTAAAAAACATAAAATGCATTTTCAAATACCCCTACATATGTGACTGAATAATTACTTGATAAGATACAAAAGCATCTCCAAACCCTTGTGAGTGGTGAATTATACTCCACCATCCAACTTCTCTCCCACAGGCGAGATGTAGCAAGCCTCTCGCTGCTTGGACAAACATCATTCCCTGGTTCTGCCAATTCAAATCTTCACAACAAGAACATGCCATGCCACTTACATAGTAGCAAACCATCCACATTTCCTCTGTATTCCATCGGTGAGAAGTAAGTTCCACTTGAACAGCTACTTTGTACAAACTATTGCTCTGTGGAACTGACTCCCAAGTGGATGTTTCCCTGATCACTACAATCTTAACTTGTTCAAGGCTAGAGTCAACCATTATCTTGCCCTCCTATCCATACAAATTGCTTCTTAATGTAACCCTCTACAGTGAGTGGCCCTTGTAAAGAGTTAAACTTACCATAAAAAACAAAAAAAGGAAGGAAAAAGAAGAAAAAAAAAGGAAAAGAAAGAAAGGAAGAAAAAAGGGAAGAAAAAGGACGAAAGAAAAATGAAAAGAAAAGAAAAAGAAAGAAAAGTAGAAAAAAAGAAAAAGAAAAGTAGAAAAAAAGAAAGAAAAGTAGAAAAAAGAAAGAAAAGTAGAAAAAAGAAAAGAAAGAAAAGTAGAAAAAAGAAAAGAAAGAAAAGTAGAAAAAAAAAAAGAAAGAAAAGTAGAAAAAAGAAAAGAAAGAAAAGTAGAAAAAAAAGAAAAGAAAGAAAAGTAGAAAAAAGAAAAGTAGAAAAAAAGAGAATTGTATGAATGGACTTGAAGGACGATATTACTACTGTACCATAACAGTTTATATATATAATTCAAAATGTATGTCTTCTCTGCCTGTGAAGATCCTTTTCTTAGATGCAGGCTTTCCCCAGAGCAGGCTTGATGATGTGCGACCATATGGGAACTGATGTTTCAACATAATATAGCCATAAGCCCAAAATATATACAAGCATAAATAATTCAATGAAAAATTGTATGAATAATTAAAGAAAGAATGGATAACTAATTACACTGAAGATTTGTAATATATGATTTTGGAAAGCATTGAGGTGTTCCATGAAACTGGTATATAGGTATTTCTATATATTTAGGAAAGATATAAGAATTTATAAGTAATTCCCCTAGGGAAAAAAAGGGTAATAAACTAGAATTTAATAATAGTAGCCATCTTGTATTGTTGCAGTATAAACTACAGGTTGATTATGTGGGTGTTGAAAAAACGTAAACAATCCTTCCTGTAAGAAAGGCATGCTCAGAAATTGAGCAGTCATACTGAAGATGAGAAATCGCACTAATTTGCACAATGCCATCAAGTTGAAAGCTGTGATGATCAATAATCCACTTTTAACCTTTATCACTGTATTTGTTGTAGAGTAGTTTTCACAGTGGAGGCTTGTATTTCACTAAGTCAGTCCTAAAAAAAGGTTTGACGTACAAAACGTTAGGAACTTGAAATAATAGTTAATGATGCAGCAATCTAGTTGTGGTGGTTGATACTTTAATGTCCGACATCGACTGACTCACCAACTCACTGGCGACTGCTACTCCTACTACTTATTATATGTGGGAGAGTCTATTAACAATAGAATAGGTATGTTTCGGTATAACAGTATGTGACTTCATTTGCAGTACGAAAAATTTATCCTGCCCCTGAAGGTGACTGATCCCTGAACAATAGTGTATTTGAATTTAATAATTGTGCTGTTCTATCCTGCTATGGCAACAGAAAACAACTGAGTGAAATTAACAATAAGGATAATGGGAATGAGAGGCCTTGAGAAAGAATGCACTGGCAAGGTAAGTAATATTAATAATGCAGAGTGATAAAAGTTAATCATAATTTCAAACAGCTTTGTTGATCAAGACCTGAATGGTACTTGAGTTCTCTGAAAGATTAAATATTTTTGGCACTTTGTACAAACCTAGTAACAGGCACAAATTAGGGAATATTCTAGAAATTTATTCACTTTTTTTTTTTTTAGGTCAGATTTAATGTTAAAATGTCAGAGATGGAAGATCTTAGGAATATAGATGAGGAGTTGTTGTTTTTGTTGTTTTTTTCTCTCTCTTGTTTTCTACTGAAAACACTTGACATTTGAGGTGAAATTTTTTTCCTCAATTTGAATAATAGGATAATGTTTGCACAATAAATGCAACTAGAAAAAACAACAGAAACTGCCCAGCAGGATTAACACATTAAGTATTCAAGCTATCAATAAAAAGTACCATATTTTTCAGTGTACAAGATTACCCCCATAATTTGATATCAAAATCTGATTGTGAAGATATGAATATTATACATAAGTCACGAGTAAATATATTTAAATAAGATTGTATAATTTAGTTTGTTTGAATATATTATTTATAACAATAGCATGGATTCCAAAAGTGCAATGCGCATGAGCAATCAAAGTGCTTAATTCAATTATCATCTGTAATTACCTAATCAGTATTTCAGTTTTCACATGGATACTCAGTAGTCTGGTATGTGCTTACCATTATGTTGGATGCAACACTGAAAGCCAAAGTACCATATATTAGGTTGAGGAAGCAAAATACTTTGATTATATACTAATTTTCAAAGTATCAGATTGAATTTTGCTAAATTGTTTCCATATATAACTGTAGCTACCCACCTTCAAAAAAAAAGTTATGTTAATTTCCATACTATTGCCTTGGGGGGGGGAGCATAAATGTAACTTTTCTCCCTCTCCTCAGTTATGAGTAAAACAGTAGGGTAGACTGAGCTCTTTAGCCTTGGGTGATAGCCAGTCAAGAAGGACTACTATAAATTCAAAACTGTAGAGAAGGCACTGGAAAATTACTCTTTTCCAAGAACAATCTTGATAATTCACAGATGTCTTTTTAATCAAGTCACCCCAAGCAAGGCAATAAATCCACTAAGACACAAGGGGTTACTGAGGGTGAAAAAATCTGAGAAAAAGAAAAAAACATCATGGAGAGGGGCCAATTAAAGAACAGGAATTAAGAAAACAGAAGATTATGATACACTGCATTTAGATTTTTGATGATCAACATTGACTGGAAAGAAAGAAGCCAGAAGAGAGTTTCATGAGTAAGAAATGGGAGAGAAGAAACTGTTAGCATCGAACTTATGGTTACATCTAACAATTTTGACTGTAAAATGATGAGACCTAACTGCCAATCTAGTATTGCACTAAAAAAATGGAAAGTTGAGGTACCAAAATGGAAATTGAGGTACCAAAACGAAAAAATTGATGTGAAAATATTTATAGAAAAGACACAGGAGAGCTATGTTATGGTGGTAGGAAACTGACTGAAGCTGAAATGTTAGGACCAATAAATAAAGAAATCAGTGGAAAACCATGATTGCTTTCATCCTGAAGGGACATAATATAAAAAAAAAAAAAAAAAAAAAGAGACTTATAATTATTTATTTCTTATGTAAGTTTTTTTTAAAAAATTGTATGTATTTTATTATAAACTCACGATGAACAATGTGGGAAAGGGCTTTCACCCAAGAGAGAAGTTGGTAGCCAAGAACTTAAAATAGTGAGCTAATTCAATATCTTATAGCTTGATTACAACTTGAAGACAGCTACAGAATAGAAATAATTTCAAGAGCATCACAAACAATGGCACCTATCTTGTGGTAGCTTCTTCAAAACACAAAGAATGTGGATGAGTGACTAAACAAGTTCTGTTTTATGACACATGAACTTTTCCATAATGGTCAAATAGACAAGTCATTCATTTTCTGTTAAAATACCAAAATTTTGAATTAGTACAAATTCAAGCATTCCACTGAAAGTTAAGACACTCCCTGAGGTTTATCATTGTTATTTTGATCCTATGACTTTTTAGAGAACCCAAAAAGAAAAATCACCTAGTGTGTGTCCTATATTCTACGTACTGAGTTGGAAAATGGTTAAATTTTTGCCTCTGAGAGATACTTACAAAAATGTTGGAAAAGTGTATAATATTTTTAAAAAATGATAAATAAATAAAATTTAAAAAGTCACAATTATTATCCAAAATTTTCCTTCAAAATTGAGTTTTGATGAAGTTGAATTTACAGAATTAAAAACTGACAAACATCCAAAAAAAGGAGAAACAAAAAACACAAATAAAGCGTAATGACAAAAACAAAGACAAGAATGAAAAACATAAAAATCTGACAAGAAATAAAAAAAAAAATTAACAATGCCATGAAAAAAAAACAAAAAAAACTAACAAAGACAAGAAACAGAAAAACTAACAATGAAAAGAAACAAAAAACAGAGACAAGAAACAAAAAACAGAGACAAGAAACAAAAAAGAAAAGAAATAGTGGGAAATGAGAAGCAAAAAAAGCAAAAGCAAGAAATTAAAAAAAAAAAAACAAGAAAGGGTGGTGGAGAACTAAGGCAAGGAAGAGAATCAAAAAACAAAGAAAAGTAACAAGGAAAAAATGAAAACAAAAAAGAAAAAGACAACAAAAAAAAGAAAGATGAAAAGCACAGAAACAAAACAAAAATAGACAACTACTATCTATATTGTTATTATTTGATGAATTATCCAACCCTGGCCTGCTCAACTTTATTTTATTATTTGTGCTTGATCAACATTTGATATTATAATGGTTTGGAGTGACTCCTGCCTGTCATCAAGAGGCTTTGTCATTTTAAACATTTATTGTGGTGGATTCTCTCTTTTTTCCCTGCCTTTTCCTCTATCAATCTCACCTTTCTCTTGTTTACAGTTGTTCTGACCTTCAAGCCAGATGGAATTTGATTTGGGTCCTGACCCCTGCAGAGGAATTTCAGTTAGTTGGATACCCAGGCCAGCGTATGGGAAAGCTTCCCCAACTCCCTAAATTTTCTCTCCTCTTCTTATTTCTAGTCTGTACTGATTTTACACAGGGATTGCCTCATATTTTGACATGTCAGTATTCATTAAGCTAATCAGTCTCACCTTAAGATACTTGTTCAAGTATCTATTATTATTATTATTAAAAACAAAAGGTTAGGAAGGAAATTCCCATCAATACTAGAAAGAGTAATAAGAGTGGACTTGAGAAATCCATTTTCCTGAAAAAGATTTTGAAAGAAAAAGATTTTAAAAATTCCAATTATCATTAACGGTTCAGTTTATGAATACCAAATATTCCCTTATAAGGAAATGGGAAATTTCACTATTACCATTCCTGCAGGTTAATTATGACTTTTCTTGGTACAGGAAATGCTCAATTAATATAGTGCATATCTCCTCAAAAAGTGCTAGGTTAATTGCAACTTAAAACTTTTTATTGTGAAAAAATTAGTATAAAACCATTTGTTACCACTTTTTATCTCTCAACTTCAGACAACACTTGGAGTTGATTCTTTGTAAAAATCTTCATGGAACCAAAGCAGAAGTAGATCACAGATTATCAGAGTTAATGTTAATTGAGCTTAAGATTTTTTTTTATAATTTGTACAATAATTCATACTAGAAATACCTGTTAAAATTTCACATTTTTCCAATTTTAATTTTCCAAAAGAATCTTAATTCTTTAGTTAATGATCAAATAAGCTCCTTGACCATAAAATACAAAAGGAAATTCTCCCTGTTGCATCATTAAATATTTGAGCTTAATAAGTTTAACAAAATATTTCAATAACAATGTATGAATGCAGGTGATTATTTAAAGAAGTGGGTACAAATGAAAGATTCAAAGTTGACAACATTTCCATTTCACCAAAGTAGACATTAAAAACATGAGAGTATTATCACCTTTATTTTCTTTTTCTCATTAAAACTAAACAGCATCTTATATATCTTTTATGTCTTTCCTTGTGATCAAAACAGAATAGTTCATTATTTTAGATTGCAATAATTTTCTTTTGGAGATAATAATGGTTTAGCGATATAAATTTTACCAATTAACCCATAGCGGTGGGGGGGGGGGGGGAGAGAAAAGGTGCAGATCCATACTTTTCCGAAGGGTATCTGCATGTAAGTGAATATAACAAACCCAACAAGAATTGGAATTCGGCTCTCCTATTTACAATTCCAAACCATTATCCATTACGCCACCTGCACATCTAAGCTTACAGCACCTTGTATTCGGAAGCAGTCATGATAACTGAAGTTAAGGAACTGACCAAGCTTGAAGTTGCTTAACTTTAGTGATCATACGAGAACCAGTGTTTTTTCGAGATGATGTGGCTGTAAGCCATATAATAATAATAATATCATTTGGATACTAAAAATATTTACATTTCTATAAAAAATAAATCCCCAGGAAAATAAAATCAGATGAAAAATCTAGAAAAAAAAAAAAAAACTAGAAAAAAAAATGTCCTGAATTGGAAAAATTTAATTAACATAATTTTAATTTTTTTTTAATCATTCAAGTTTTTTTTATTTACATTATTTACATACAGACTATTGCCCTCATCTTTGTTGCAGTTATCACAACATTTCAAGCACCATGACCTCCAGCTTTCATCAGGTATATAACTGAGTAGTACTAAATAAGAACTAAATGAGAAATCCTTAGACATGGGCAGTGAAATGAGAACATTCTACCCCTGTCAATTAAATAAATAGTTTGGTTCAAAATTCCCTGTAGGTTGCCCAGATCCACATACACCTGATGAAGGCCATTGGTCGAAATGTTGCGATAATAACAAAGAGGAGTTCATTTGCAAATAATGATAACTCCTCCTTCCAGAAATTCAGACAGAAATTAACACTTAGTTGACGACAGAGCCAATCTATTGGCCAAAAAGTTGAAGGATGAAGAAGACAACTGGGCTGATCCATCGGCCTGATAGTACAAGCCTTGAGATTAGCTGACTGGTCTTCGTATCAGCCAATCAGATTGCTTCTTGCATTTCTTGCACATCTGGGCCTTTCAATGGTGGCTTCTATGATAGTTTTGCTAGGTTCTGTGATTTATATAGAGTTTTTTTTTTGTGTTCCAAATGAGGGCTTGTGGAAAAGGCTCCATTTTCTTGGCACTGAAACTCCAAATGAGGCTCTGTCTCTAAAGGGTTAAAATTCTTTATTAGAAAATTGTCTCAAAAATAATTTTAACTTTTTTTTCTAAATTTTAAATTCAAGATTAATTAGATTATTTCCTAAAGATTTTAAGTTGTAATTAACCTGGCACTTTTTGAGAAGATATGGGCTTTATTAATTGGGCATTTCTTGTACCAAGAAAAGTCATAATTAACCTGCAGGAATGGTAATAGTGAAATTTACCATTTCCTTATAAGGGAATATTTGGTATTCATAAACTGAACAGTTAATGATAATTGGAATTTTTAAAATCTTTTTCAGGAAAATGGATTTCTCAAGTCCACGCATATTACTCTTTCTAGTATTGATGGGAATTACTTTCCTAACCTTTTGTTTAAGATAGTGTGGAAGTCAAACAAGTCTGGTGAATGAAATTGGGTAGATGAATGTTCAGAAGCTGTTGATACTTGTGCTGGGACAAAGTCACATGCCATCGTGACTGAGTGTTCAAGCATACTGGGCTTGTTCAACTACTGATCATGCCAGAAACTGTAACTGAGGTTCACTCAGTATAGTTACAATATAAAGCACAGGTTGGCTCTGTGGATGTTGAAGAAACATAATGTGCCTACCTAGCAGAGAGGTGAACTTGCAAATAAATAGAAAGTCATTATATATCACAATTCTGAAACAGGATCATAGGGGCAACACATGTATTGCAGTTGTAGCAGCAATTGTGTGTCTTGGACAAGATAGCCTGATGGAGCTCTACCATCTACAGGCTGGTTCGAATTCAGAGTTTTCCTTCAAGTTTGGTTATCAATCAAGGCTATAGGGTCCAGTCTGTCCTGTTATTCAGCCAATAGCTAGAGATGGATTCATATCCTTCTGAAGCGGATTTGTGCATGTATTAATGTAATGAAACTTGACTGGAATTTAAACTCTGCTCTTCATTTTCTTCATCAGCTGTTATCCATTATACTACAGCATTATATATATATATATATATATATATATATATATATATATATATAAGATCACATGAGAAATTATATAAAAAATTTAATCAAAGCACATTGTCTGTCATATTTAATGAAGTTTGTGTATATATAAAGTACCATGAAAAAAAAAAAAAAAGAGCAACACTTAAGGTTTAAAATAAATTTAAAAATATGAAAAAAATCTTTCTCTTTATTTTATTTTGATTTTAATTTCAAGCTAAGACATTAAATCTAATATTTCCAATAATACTTTTAAACTGAATTGGAATTTTTTTTTAAAATAACTAAAATTGGCTATTTTCTCAAATCTGTCAACACACTATAATTCTCTATTAAGAAATCTTTGAAAAATAAAATATACTGTTCTGAAACTTTATTTGAGGAAGATTAAATGATTTAAAGTTTAATTAATTGAAATTAAACATATATTAATTCAGTTTAAAATATTTTTGTTTTTATGAGGTGTTAACACACTTATCGATAAACTGATGATTACAAGATTTAGGTAAGGGTGAAATACTTGTACTAAAATTAAATGATGAATACAACCTAAACAACTTTTTGAGAAAATTTTTATCTACCCAGAAATTTAAAAAATTTTAATATTCAAATATTTATTGAATTTTAGGTACTTTGGTTTTATAGTCTTATTTACAAAAGACACTTGTTGAGGAAATGTTAGAAATTTCCCAATAAATTTTAAATTTACTATAGTTACCACTCTATTTTTGATAATGTCATGTATGGATGTCTGTATTTACTAAAATCGGCACAATTAAACACACAAAAATAATTCAAAATTCTTTTTAAAATACTGGGGGGGTCACTGAATTGTAGTAAACTTTTCCATCTATGATTAGTAAATATAGTTTTGCTTAATAATAATAATAACACCTAACCATTACAAATTAATACAGAATTTTAAAAGATTTAAAACTTTATAAATTATTATAACTGAAATTTTCTAAAATGAAATGTAAAAATTCATTATTCACCGAAAAAAAAAAAAAAAAAGTTCTTAATAGTGTCCATAATATATCTTATTCATAAAAGCAATTAAAAGCTTTTCTAATTAAATAATGTCTTATTGTGTTATTTATTTTATAATTCAGAGCAAAATTTCTGTAAGTGGGGATCCTGTTTGCCAAAAATTGGATGATTTAAATTCTCTGCAGATTCTAATCTTACTTATTATAAAATGCAGATTGTGTGTGTGTGTGTGTGTGTGTGTGTGTGTCTGTACATTTATGTATGGGATCAGATTTCCTACATTTTTCAACCGATTTCAACAAAACTTCACAGGACTACGTAAAATTACCTTGTGGTGGTTCTGACAGCACCAAAAATGAGAAAAACACAATTGTTTTTGCACAAAACCAATTTGAAAACACAATTAAGAGGCATTAATGAAAGGGGGACAACTCATATCGAGTTATACTTATTAATATAGACTTATCGAGTTATACTTATTATAAAACCCAGGTTGGTTGTTTGTGTGTGTGTGTGTGTTCGTTTATTGTGGGATCGGATTTTCTACATTTTTCAACCGATTTCAACAAAACTTCACTTTGTTTTTGGCAGGTAGTGTTTCTTATTGTCTTGCACACTTATCTTTATTTTTACATTCAGAATGCTTTAAAAATTCCATTTACAAGACAATTGTTTATAATAAAATTTTATTCAATCGGCAGACTCATAACGATTGAAAACAATGTTTTTGTTCGAGTTTGGGTTTGACCAATTCGTAAAAAGAAAAAAAAAAAAAAAAAAAAATAAAACTAATTAAGACATACGTGTCCGTCAACCTTAAACAATAATCTTTGTCAATTTTATTTTTCAGTCTTTATGATGGTCGATACTTGATCTATCTCTTACTGTTACATCCCCGGGCAATGTCGAGCTCTACTGCTAGTAACTAATATAAAGATTAAGCTCTACAAAATGTCTCATGATTTCCTGAAATTAAATAAGGGAAAAGTGAAACAGATATAAAAACAAATATAAAAAAGAATAAGTCTGACTTTTGCAAGAATTTTTTAACCCAATGTATTTTTCCCCACCACATAATTTTTGGTCTCCCTTTGGCTCAAGAAAAACAAAATTTTGAAGGTTCTAGAAAGGATTAACAAATATGATTATCATTTAATAATCAAATAATCCCTTCGTCATTCCTCTTAATAATAACATTTTCATGATAAAACTTTGTTTTTATCAAGTTTGAGGCATTTTTTTCATTATGAATGCTCATTTTTTGGGGGCAAATCTTTAGGGGTATATATATATAAAATAAATAAAAAGGTAAAAATATAAAACATGAACAATAACAAAACACTACTGACACATTTTTAAGAGAATCAAAACTAAAATATATAAATAAAGATTTATTGTGTAATTTTCAAAGTTTTATTTAAAGTTTTTCAATATAATGTCACTCATATATAATATGAACTTTGAATTTTACTGATGCAAAATTGAAGTTTTCTGTTATTGGTAATCAAGAAAATATATTCTAAAAGTAGTGTTGCCCATCATATGATGGTGTTTTAATACTGGAAATATAGTTTATCAATTGTGGGTAATATCAGGTATTGTCTTGTCCAGCCATACTTCAGTTGTTGCATGAATTTAAGTTGGATTTCATCAGATGTAAGTAAGGAATGCTTACTCAATGTTTATTGCATTTTGACTTTGAATGAAGCTGAAAGGTAACAAACACCTGCTCTAAGCATATATACTTTTGACTAAATTTTAAGTAAGGTTTTTTTTTTCAATATCCTGTTAGGTAATTATTAAATCAACCGTTTCTCGTCAAATCTACTTTATTTTAAGATTTTTAATGTTTACATTTTTCTGTTGGACATCAATCATGGCATAATCAAACTTAATCATGACAAGAAAATTAATACTGCAAACAGTCTAAGAGCTGTACTCAATACACAAAAATATTTTCATCAAAATTCAATTAAGTAATGATTAAAGCAACCAAAAATTGGATTTTTAGAAGATTTCAAAAATTTTCTGTTAGTGGACAGGGTGTGTAATTGAAGTTAATTTTGAATGACAAAATTTGATATTAAGAGGAACAGTGTAACAACCTGCTTATTATTGTCTAAAGCATAACACAAAACAATGACCACTGGCAATAATTATTCATTTCTAGTAAAAATTTAAATAAAGATTATCCAATGTTGGAATACTTTTGGCTTTCAGAAGCCGTTATGAAATATTTCTTGTTAATAATGTGACTATTACTATGAAAACAGAAGGAATAGCTGTTAGGTTTTAATGCAATCTGTTTATTTTTTTATGTATATACAGTCATTTTTGAAGATGTGTCGGTTTTTCTTAAATATTATATGAAAAATAAAACTTATCTTAGGTTGTTTTATGTTGGCCGTTAAAAATATTAGAAATGTCAAAACACTAAAATATCAATAGACACATAAAATCATAATTAAATAAATTTAAAAAAACTATTATATATATATATATATATATATATATATATAATAAAATCATCAAATAAAAAAAAATAGCATAATAAAGTATGTTCAGCAGATGTTCTTTCAAATTCCTGCCAACAGGCGGCACTGGTGCATTGTTTTTTGTTCCAACACTGATTTTGAATTCAGACTTGTTTACATTATGATTTAAAATACATTTTTGCCCATGGCTCTGAAGAAAAGTTTCAGTACAAGTGCTAATGCTAAGCATAAGGCTCTATTGCTGGAAGATAAGGTGGAAATTAATTATTTTATTCAGAACACAGTATGTACATATCAATACTGTAATAAGCAATGG